AAGCCACTCAACTAAGTGGAAATAATACAACGTAAAGAATACAGAGAATAATTTTGTTTACATATTTATGAAAATAAAATAACATAAATTATAAAATAACATAAAATACATAAAAGTAAATTTACTTTTCTGAGAATGTTTAGGCCAGCAGAGAAGGCCTTGCTGGCCCTCAGGGTCCGCCACTGACTGAAGCAAATACAAACGTATCAGTTGGACTACGCGTCTCCTCAACTGCCGTCTAACTCGAGAGACGTTTAATGGCCGCCTCTGAAAACCCGTAAATGAAATGATTACTTCACTGACACTCAGAAAAGCGAAAATAATGCAACAAAACAGAAAATCAAGTGAATAACAAAATCTCCTACAGTACCGTGGAGAAAAAAAATAATAAAATTCAAGATTTTTCTTTGTGAAGCGCAAATAACCCTCTTCGAAAATATCCTAACCTCTTATTTTTCCCCCTCAATGCTCTCCTGAACCTGAACAGCAATGATATTCAAAAGGAGGAATTTTCAAGGGGCTAGCCTTTAATTTGCACTTATTTCGTCATCGATCCTGAATGCTTTACAGATAAAACTACCGCAAAGGATGGATGTTCAATACAGAGAGGGAAGGAGTGGAGGACAGTGATGAAGGACAGAAAGACAGCCAGGTTAGAGGGGATGGGGAGGGGAGGGATCGTCCAGTTGCGATGACAGGAGCAACAGAGAGAGACGAGAGAAGAAGTGAGCGATAGTGAAGCAAGACATCGATGACCTTCTTTTAGCTCTTAAACCATGCTGTTCATGCCATGGCATCACTCAAAAGACAAGAAGACTGCCTATAGCGGCCTGCTGCGACATGAACATGACAGCAGCTGTCTGATATACCGGACAGTAGTGTCTGATAAACATACAGGCACACTGCACTGAAGCCTCAATGTGATTACAGGAGTCTCTTTTGATGCTGGCTTGAAATAAGATCGAGTGACGTCACCTTGACGTCTTGTAGACAGTAGTTACACTCTGATTTTAGGTTTGGCCCCTCGTAAATAGGAATACATTGTGGCCATCTGCAACCATGCATGTATTGTAACCCTCGACATCGCATGGACAGGCAATTTAGCCTGCATGACTAATCCATAGCACATTATACAATGTATCTATAATATATCCGGTTCTGATCACTGAGAAACAAGACGGCACGCGTAACACAGAGTTGCTGTAGATGAGCAACGAAACAAACGTACCAAGTTTTAACATCAGAACGGAATGGTGAGCGTCCTGCTCTTGTAGTGTGTGGATCAAAGATGGGTAGTAACGCATCGTGAAACAAAAATCCAAAGTGGCCACAGAAGGAACATCAATCTGACAAAAGTCAAAATAAATACATATTTCATGGGAATAATCCAAAGAAAATGAGACAGTGCTTCTGAGTATGGCTCAACGGATTTTTTTTCACTCATGAAAAAGGCGAGGACAAAATGATGGTGCCCCAAGAAAAAACGAAAAAGAGTTTGACCATTGGGACCTGTTCAACCCAGGTGTCACTTCTAATTAGCATCACAGGTGTCTTCAAACTAGCAACCAGTCAGTTAGCCAATTTAAAGGTTGCTTAGCTCACTTTGCTGTTTGGCGACATGGTGTGTACCACACAAAACATGGTGGACCAGGGTAAGCAAAGGAAAGAGTTGTATACTGAAAGTCAGAGTAATTTTAATCCAACATACTTTTTACTTTCATTAAAGCATTTTTGTTAAGAAGATACATTAATTTTATGCTGTTACTTTGAGCTACACCATTGGTAGTATTTTGAAATGTTATTTTCAAGATGACTCTACAGTTAAAGTGTTTAGGAAGTTAACAGGATGATTTTTGGAATGGATGGCTAAAATACTTTTTGCATGCAAGAACGATCTGTGTTCAATCTTAGAGGGTCCAGTGTAATTTAATTTCTTTCTGTCACTTAAGGAGACTCGGCATCGTGATTTCTTCATCTCGGCACAACCCTCTTGAACTCGTTTCTTTGCTGCCATTTTCACATTTTCAGTTGAGCCTTTTCAACATGACGACTCGCGCCGGCTAAAATTCGGATTGGTCTTGGCTCTCGGTGTGAGTGAAATGGTGAGTATCACACTAAGTGAATAATTCATGCAGGCTCTGACTCTGTCCATGTGTTTTCAAGACTGGGTATAGATCGGGAAGCTATGAATCATTCATTAAACTATTAAACTCTTAAAGTTGGCTGTTAATTAACCCTTATCCTCTTGCTGTCATGTGGATGGGGTCAGTGACTGGTCCGTGCCCCGAGCTTTCCAACCAGCTGCTCACTCCTTCAGTCTTTCGGGTCTCAGCTCGCGTGTTTGCTACAGGAGCAGGAGGTGTCTGTGTGAGTGTTTGTCTGCTTTCAACGGGCAAGGTCAATCCAGTTGAAAAGACCTTTGTTAAACCCACTTGCACTATTTTACAGATTTAAATCGCATAACTTGTAACGACATACTGGGGAGTAGATACTTGTTCCCTAATATTTTTGAGAGCTGCGTCCTGTGCATGTGCGCGCGTGCGCGCCTGTGTGTAATTGCCATGACGAGACAAGATGTTGAGGAGTCGGCGGTGCGTGCCGTCAGAGCGCTTGAACACTTCACAGACGGCCCGCAGAGAACAAGAGAGACAGAAGGCGGCAGAGGGATAAGAGGAAGAAGACAGAGAACCAGATGAGTGATGAAAATTGTTTTATTTTTTTTAAAAAGGGAACTTAACATCACATGGATATCAAACCTTGCCGAGGGTTCGCACCAGAGTTTAATAGGAAAAAGAAGAGATTTAATACTCGCATGAGCACGCCTAACCAATGCAACAACACAGACATGACAGACCTGCTCTGCTGAGAAACATTGTTTGGCCGCAGAAGATTTATTTATTTATTTTAATTGGAAGCAAGACCATATTTGTATGCAATTTAGTATTAGCGTAGCCATACTTGACGATACTTGAGCCATCTATCAATTTTCTACCCCGCTTTATCCTCACTCAGGTTGCAGATGAGTTGGAACCTATCCCCCCATTTTCTGCGGGGTAGGTTCACCCTGGAATGGTCTGAGGTCAGTTGCAAATATGTGTTCGAATAAACTGTAATTGCACATCCACTAGTTGGCAGTAGCGCTCTCACTGTCGTCGTGTCCACAGGAAGTATTAGCTCAAAGGGCAGGGGTGTCCGTCCGGCTCCAGTCCTCGAGGGTCACTTTCCTGCCTGTTTTATACGTCTACCTACTCCAACACACCTGATTCAAATGATGGGGATCCTTATCAGGCTTCTTCAGGGCTTGCTGATGAACTGATGATTTGAATCAAATTTCGGCTGTCATCATGAAAAAAGGGCAGAAAAGAGAGATACTGTCGAAAATATATAAAAGCTGAACTTGTTAGTCAGCCAAGGCTAGTACCACTGCTACTACATAAGAATGTGTGTGTGTGTGTGTGTGTGTGTGTGTGTGTGTGTGTGTGTGTGTGTGTGTGTGTGTGTGTGTATATATATATTTTTTTTAAAATAAGTGTTTATAATTTCTCTCACATGCCGCTCTGGTTTCTTTGAAAAGAGATTTCTACCTAATTCGACTTTTGTCTTTATAAAGCCTTAACGTTAAGTATGTTGTTGACAGGGCCTGGGACTGATGGAGCATTGTGTGAGTGTTTACGTGTGTGTGTGTGTGTGTGTGTGTGTGTGTGTGTGTGTGTGTGTGGCTGATGGTGATGGGGTGACAGGCAGTGACGGTGGGTACACAGCGTAACCTTTCGAGTGGAGCCACAGGAGCATGACGGCCAGACTCGAAGGTAACAGAGAGGGAGACAGCGTGAGGTGCTCGGGGCTCGGGGCTTGGGGCTTGTTAGCAGGAGAAGCAAAAAGTCGACAGGAAAGGGAGATGGGAGCATATTTGTGTCATCCGCGCGTCTGTGTGGCTGCTTCGTTGTGTCCCGCAGCAAACCTGCTCCGCGCAAATAGAGTGGCATGTATTTGCATCGACATACTGTTAGTTTTGAGTCAGGATTGTGCGGCACAAAAAGCACATGTGGCGAATCTATGAACTTAAGACAAGCTGTTTATGAAAAAAACAAATTCTCATAGCATTAAGAATAATACGTGGATAATGTATCATGTTTGCAGATATTGAGTATGGTCTTCGGAAAAAATTAAATGCTCCTTGGTCATAGTTAATCCGCATATCAGAATGACTTGGACTGCCTATGCTAAAAACAAAGGCACTATTGTCCTTCTCAAAGTGATGTTGAAACTGTTTTATTTGTCCAAACTTATATTATTGAGTAACAATGTAGAACAAATTACTTATTTTCCATATAAAGAAAAAAATTGTCTGTAGATCATCTACCTGTACGGCTATTAGCTCAGTTGAAACAACTTTGTTTACCTTTTAATCGTACCTCAGTGAAATCGATGTTTCTATTTTCCCACCAAGACTTGATTACACAAGGCCTAATTGTTCGTCATGTCTAGCAACCCTGAAGCCAATAAGCATTTTTGTACAAACTGCACGCACGCAGATCCAAGCAAACACCCTCCTCATATGCCTTATCGTGTTGCCTGTTTTACACTTACTGCATGTGCGCAGACACGGATGAGTCTCCCTGTAACGTTTCTCTCATTAGAATGTCTGTCCCATCAAGGAGACCTGGTGAATAATTTATAGGCGAATGTCGGTAGAGCCTGCGTGTGTCCAAACGGAGGTCCTAGGTGAGACTTTTTAAGCTTTCTTGAGTCGCTGGAGCCTTTCTGCCAATATTGCCCACCAGCTAAGCCCTCCAGTTCATTCTCACTGACAGGCAACACATACATCTGCACCTCCAGTATACCCTGAGGATGAATAAACTCGTATATCTTGATGTACATTCCATTACCATTTAAGAGTTCCCACTTGGTGTGAATTCAGTTTTTCAGGATTGGAATACTGTACTGTCTATACCGTCCCACACACATTGCATGGTAGCGGGGCACCGAGAAAGGCGCCTCTGGAACTCTACTAACTTATTCCAAAGTACTGTACTCGGTCGCGGCGTGTGCTGGAGCCCATGCAAACTTCCCCAAGGTGTAGTAGCAATCAGCAGAGATAAAATAAAGATTAGTAAAAAAAAAAAAACACTGCCTCAAGTTGATTAGAATGCCTAAAATTTGATGTTTGGGTACTGGCATTGTTCATATTATGATCTATTCAGATATATTCATCTAATTAACAGCAAGCTTGTTTGTAATATTACCCACAAGAATTTTCATGTCAATATTACTATTTAAAACACGACATTAGCTGATATCTTGGGAGTCAGACCCAAATTAATGTGGTTAAATACAAATTCCTTTTCCACAATTTGTATTCACGTGTATACACACACACACACACACACACACACACACACACACATACATACATACACTGGATTGAGGCCTGTGACTATAACAAGTGCTGCTGTCTGCCTCAGTCGTCTCCCAGGCTTTGGAGGAGGATGGCGAGGAATGTTAAGGAACCAGGAGAAGCCAAGCATATATTCTCACTGCAGGGTGGGGGCGCAGGGGAGGGATTTGAACGCACCACACAACTCTCTCTCTAGCATCCATTCAGTCTGCAGAGACCTAAAACAGTCAGGCAAGCAGTGGAGCATCTCTGCTGTTTTACCCATTTTGTTGGTTTTTCCTCCTGACATTGTTTTCCCCTACATGGTTTTATGGTTATTTAGAGATAGATAGATAGCGGATGCTAAGTCTTGGTGGCAAGAAGAAGGAAAAGCTTTGGGTTGTTGTTTTGAATGCAACACTGTGTGCTCTGATGTTAATGACGCGTGGTGAGCTTGTTTTTAATGAATTGGTGAAAAGGTGATGCTGTGCTGGGACTGGTCTGTGTGTGTGTGTGTGTGTGTGTGTGTGTGTGTGTGTGTGTGTGTGTGTGTGTGTGTGTGTTTTAACATTCTCTCATTTAAGCCCCCAGGCAGAATATCACGTTGTCTGATATTGATCCAGCAATCCCCACCCATACACTCTTTTCGTCAATGTTGTCATATATAGCATTTATTTATTCATGCCCAGTTGCTAGTCGCATCTGCCTAGCATTTATAGTATTTATCATTCAAGGACAATTGCAAATATACATGGGACCTCCACGGTTTGTGAAGGACAGGGAGCAAAGAGAATTTTCAATGAACAGTTGGAAAAAAAATCATAACTGCTTCCATCAAAGTCAGTGTAATATATTGTAATTAATAGTTTAAGCCATAAAAATGCCAAACACTATATGCCAAAAGACTTTAAAAGCATTTCAAATCCTTGCTGAAAAATGATTGTAGTGCTCCAGTCCGGTACAAAAGAATGCACATTTGACTGCGCAGGAGTTGCTTCAATGGTGCCGGCGAGAATCACTGCTTTTTGAGAATAGCTCGTGCTCAACCCGACAGCCTTGGTTCGACATTTTGATAACAGCGGGCAGGGTGGCCATTGGGAATTTCAGGAAAATATGTTAATTTTCCCTAATGGCCAATGTATTTCTGAGACGGACCTGGACATCATGAGGTTTATCCATTTCAACCTAATCAGGAACGTAGTAATCTCCTACCCCCATCCCCAAAATGGGCATCTTCCATTTATTTTGGTGCTACACATTTTGTCCAAAAACCTCTTCATAAATTTCATCATAAAGAAACGATCTTTCAAAGATTTCTTTGTTTTTCATTCACGCTAGTTGAATATGTAGTATTGCAGTACACTATTATGAATTTAGACATGTGCAGCCCTCACAGAGGCCTCTCCTGCTGTCACAAAGTTAAATGGTTCCTTAACATCCCCGGGGGACTTTTTCCATTTTCCTCCATCTCTCCATGTCTCTCCCTTCCACTTGCTGGGCGCGGTGGCAAAGCTCAGTGGACCACAGCAGACCTTGTCTATTTCTATCCCCTTCCAGCCTTAGCCCTATTTGATGACACATGAGGGCCCCTGAGACAATGGCTGACCCCCTCAGTCAACCCTCATCTCCCAGATTGACAGCTGTCAATCACAGCGCTGTCACTTTTGTTGTCCCACCACTTTAGATAAAATTTCTCAAAAATAGAACTCATAGGGCGGCCCGGTGGTCCAGTGGTTTGCGCATCGACCTCACAGTGCAGAGGTACCGGGTTCAATTCCAGCTCTGGCCTCCCTGTGTGGAGTTTGCATGTTCACCCCGAGCCTGCGTGGCTTTTCTCCGGGTACTCCGATTTCCTCTCACATTCCAAAAACGTGCATGGTAGGCTGATTGAACACTCTAAATTGTCCCTAGGTGTGAGTGTGAGCATGGATGGTTGTTGGTCTCTGTGTGCCCTCCGATTGGCTGGCAACCGGTTCAGGGTGTCCCCCGCCTACTGCCCGAAAACAGCTGGGATAGGCTCCAGCACGCCCCACGACCCTTGTGAGGAGAAGCGGATCGGAAAATGGATGGATGGATGGATGTATAGAACTCACAAACCACTCTGTTATTACATGTATAAATATTCGAGAGCACCCAATTCCCATCTTTTTTTAATACACGTGAGCATGTGCAATATGCTATAATTAGCCGTAGTCAGGAAAGCTAGCTCATTTAATGTCACATTTGTGTGCCGCCTGCTAAACACGAAATGTTTCTTTGTGTT